CCTCTGACTCAGCAGCATAGCTGGCCCCTCCCACCCGCAGCCACGGAGGGCCCCTAGGAGAGTGGGGGCACCTCCCGAAGCAGCCACCCCGAGGCAGCCCCCGTTCCCTCCCTCCCGGGCCACTCAGCTCCAACATCAGAAATTACATCAGTTTCAGAACACTTCCTTCAAGGTCCCCCAGACCAGGGGAGGGGGGGGACAGGAGTAGCTAGGGACCAAGAATCTCAAAGGTGGGTGGAGGGAAGTGGGGAGCAGAGGGCAGGAGGGGACCCCACACAGGGTGGCGGTCCCAGGGCTTCACGGGCTCACAAGCTCTAAAGCGGACACCGGGCCTGAGGGGAGGGCGGGCTGGGGTCTTGGGGAAGAGGACTGAGGGGAACTGCAAGGGCAGCCGCTGAGCACATGGTCAGGAGGGCCGCGGGCACCGCTGGCTGCTGTCCATCAAGCAGCCCCCACTCGGGCCAGGGCTGAGACAATGGCCACCCTATTTAAAACTTCCCAGGCCGATCCCAGGCAACCCAGGAACATGGGGCCCCGGGGAGCAGGGTGTGGAGCCTCCATCCATTCCCCGCCCCACAGGCCAGCTGTCGGAGGCCAGACACATTCAGCTGCCACCGGAAATCAAAGTCACCAAGTCCCGCCACCCCAGGCCCAGGCCCCTGGCCACCACGCCCGCCCGTCCCGAGTGCCCGCCTGAGAGCCAGCTGGACAGAGGCTGGTCAGAGGAGCACCACATAGCAGAGGGTCAGGGGCCCAAGTCGAAGGGGGAAGGGCAGCGGCTCCCCAGAGGGCCCCGGAGCCGGGCCCAGCCACACCCATCAGCCACCTCCAGGCCCCAGGACTGAGGCTCCACCATGGATATCCTGTGCCACCCCCATCCCTCCCCACACCCCAGTCCCCAACATAGCGAGGCTTCCACCCACACGGACCCACACCCGGATCTGCGGGCTCCCCCTCCCCCAAGCGGACACACCCATTCCCACCAGCCGGGAACTGATTATAAAT